CTATTCATCTCTTCCATCAGGTACCGGTATATGTCGAAAATATCACTTTGTTATATTTTCAGAAGAATAAGCCACACGGTAATACTGCACGATTTATGTTCAGGACGATTTCGCTACATCTCAACACTATGATATTGTTTTTAATAATAATAGTATAATTAATATTATTATTATTATTATATTTCTAAAGAACTCATTCATTCTGAAACACGTCGTTAATCGTGTTACTGCATGAACCTGATCATGTTATTACTAATCGTTGGTTAAACACCTATTTTAATAGTGGATTGTGATGGGTTTGTGCAACGTGCGTATTATTGCGTCACCGGATCTCAGATGCTGCATTACTGCTAAGCGGTTCATATTCGTTTTCTTTTTCTTTATCAAGGTGTGTGAAAGCCTCGTTTGTGAAAATAATGTTCTATTGACCGTTCACCACAACAAATTNTAATCTTTTGGCCTTTTCTGATGACTTCATTCGAAAATAATAAATCTACACCCGTTATCAGTAGACTTATCAAGGCCTTCAGAAAAATCATTCGGAGACACTGTTATGGTTCGGTTTCTTCCCACTCAATTACCCATGCTGTAGGTGCACTTTCTGTTCGATGTTTAGAGAATGTTAACAGTCCTTTCAAACACTTAAATCGCATCTTGAATCTATTAGTAATTGTCAGTTATTGAATATTATTATTATTTCACAAATTTATAGCTCCTTCAATTTATTTTCCATTTCAATAACTAGGAATCTGTCAAACGGTGGTTTCACAAGAAATTCGACTTCTGGTGTTTCTCCAACTGACCGATATCACATCAGCCAATTTAGAAGAACAAAATAACAAATCACTATAGAGTGCTGTTATATTTTGTTAGGTGTGGTAGTTCCACAAAACGAATACTCCGCAAACCGACTTACCGTTATGAAATGAAGTGAGGTGATGCATTACGGGGTTGAGTGAATTGACATGAGCCTGTGATGAACCTATTGTGGTGATCTAGCTCACCAATATGATGCCAGTCAGGTGTATATACCATAAACTTTCTGTAAAACTAAACCATCCAAGCTGAACGAGGTCAAACATGGAACAATGAAATAAGGGGAACACGAATTGGTTAATACCATACGGGGTATTTATCTTTTGTTATGCGTAGTGTATACGTCACATTTCACCATAACAGACGACTCATTATTTTGGCTGCCTTTTTCTTACTTCTTGGAATCTGCGGATTCCGAAACTGACAATCATTGTTGTCTTGGCTTCGATTCTCGATTAGATGGATTTTCCGGTAGCAGACTTACGCTACAATGCAACACAACCTATGGACTTGATGATGGAGCTTCACGACAAATGAAGAACCCGTTCAAGGGTTACGATTCGTAAGTTCCAATTGAGAATCTGTAACTACTTCGCCTATTAAAAGGTCGCTGTGATTTCCCCACCTTTGTGAATTTTATTGGAATAAATGTGATAGTAAAACTGCTATTCACTCGGCTTTTTTCCACAACTAAGAAAATATGGAAGATTTTAAAAGCACTTAACAAATTTGAAGCGATCTATCAACCAATTACTTTATTCATATTACTAAATGATCCATTTTTGACAAAATTCTTAACCAGGAATGTATTCGTTTGCTTTGGCCTAATTGGGATTAAAACCAATTCAAAA